ACCATTGAGTTCATTTGGTCTCAAAATAGTACTTCTTCAAACATAGACATAAAATTTCTAGGGAAGGCAGCACTAATTAACTGACTTTGATATAAACTATGTTAGTGTTTTCCCTTTCTATTGTCAAATAACACGATATGCTTAAGTAAGAGTTCTGACATAACTATTCTCTGCCAAATTATATGTTAAGTCCAGATTTAAATAATCATTTTTTAGTCTTGTTATTTTCCTTACATCATACATTTCACTTAGCGTAAGTTGAATATACTAGATGAACTCAACAAATATATCTTTTTTAAAATTCTGTTATCTGAAAAATTTTCAAATACAAAGAAAAGTTGAAAGAAAAGTAAAATTAACACCTGTATACCATTTGCCTCGATTCTTCAATTGTTAACACTCTGCCACATTTACTTTTTCCTCCCTTTCTCATACAGAATACATAGTTTAAAATGAATTCTTTTTTGGAAACCATAGATTGTATTTATTTGTATCTCATAGAGTGCTTTAAGCATGCACAGAGGATTTTGTGAACAGAGGAAAACTAATTAGAATTAATCTTTTTAAAATAAAAAAGACTATTATAGTAGTACTTCCAAAGCTTATTTTTTTTTAATCTTTGAGTTTGATTTGTATCTTATTATTCTAAATTTTGTATAACAAATGCAATCATCTTTACTTTAAAAAAATTAATAGTTAATGCAAATTGAAAATAAGCTTCCTTATAAATTACCATATGTATAATTTAATTGATAATTTTCTCAAATGTTAAATCATTCAAATATGTTTACTCTTTTAAAGTTTTCTAAAGCTTTAAAAAAATACAAAAAATTAGCTGGGCATGGTGGCGCGTGCCTGTAATCCCAGCTACTCAGGAGGCTGAGGCAGGAGAATTGCCTGAACCCAGGAGGCGGAGGTTGCGGTGAGCCGAGATCGCGCCATTGCACTCCAGCCTGGGTAACAAGAGTGAAACTCCGTCTCAAAAAAAAAAAAAAAAAAAAAAAAAACTTTACCTTGGGGGAAAAAAACTCTTCATAAATAATGAAACAATTTTAAAAGTTCTATTAAATAAGATTTATAAATAAAGTACTCAAGATCTCTTAAATCCTGTTTATATATTTGGTCTAATTCTTATACCTGCAATTTTAATAATTGCAATTATAAAATTCATTACATAATTAGATATATTAAGTTGGAAATATAATTAATTTTGAAATCTCTTAACCTTTAAAGCACTTTAAATATCATGTGCTTACACATTCCAAACTAAGCAAAAAAGCATTAGTAACATGTAATATAATAATCACATCTATTTTAGAGCTAGACCAAAGTTATTTGTCTCTCAGTAAGAAAATCATTTTACCACTCTGCTTTGAGGTTGCTGCTTCCAGCAACCTGCTGTTATCATTTGTTTCTTGACCAGAGATTTTTGCCCAGGACAGGACAACTGAGCTGGGTATGGCCAGGACATCCTCCCAGTCCAGCTGGTGGACACACTGTTCCTGGTGGACGAATGTGAGGACATGCAGCTTTCATACATCCACAGCAAAGTGAGGGTCATCTACAAGGCCCCCTCTGAAAACTGGGCCATGGAGGGAGGCATGGGTCCCGAGTACCTGCTGGAGGGGAACGATGGGAAGACCTACTTCTACCAGGTATGGTACGACCACGACTACGTGAGATTCGAGTCCCCTCCGAAAACCTAGCCAACAGAGGACAACAAGTTCAAGTTCTGTGTGAGCTGTGCCCGTCTGGCTGAGATGAGGCAAAAAGAAATCCCCAGAGTCCTGGAGCAGCTCGAAGACGTGGGCAGCCGGGTCCTCTACTACTCAGCCACCAAGAACGGCATCTTGTACCGAGTCGGTGACGGCGTGTGTCTGCCCCCTGAGGCCTTCATTCAACATCAAGCTGTCCAGCCCTGTGAAACGCCCACGGAAGGAGCCCGTGGACGAGGACCTGTACCCAGAGCACTACTGGAAGTACTCCGACTACATCAAAGGCAGCAGCCTGGACGCCCCTGGGCCCTGCCGAATCGGCCGGATCAAAGAGATCTTCTGTCCCAAGAAGAGCAACGGCAGGCCCAATGAGACCGACATCAAGATCCGGCTCAACAAGTTCTACAGGCCCGAGAACACGCAAAGTGCACCCGGCGAGCTGCCGCGCAGACATCAGCCTGCTCCGCCGGAGCGATGAGGAGGCCGTGGTGGACTCCAAGCCCGTGCAGGGCCGCTGCACCGTGGGGTGCGGGGAGGACCTGCCCGAGTGTATTCCATGGGCGGCCCCGACCGCTTCTACTTCCTTGAGGCCTATAACGCGAGGAGCAAAAGCTTTGAAGGTCCTCCCAACCATGCTCGTAGCCCTGGAAACAAAGGGAAGGGCAAGCCCAAGTCCCAAGCCTGTGAGCCGAGACAGCCGGAGTCCGTGATCAAGCTGCGGACCCCGGACGTGCTTTCTGGCTGCGGGGGGTTGTCGGAGGGGTTCCACCAAGCAGGCATCTCTGAGGCGCTGTGGGCCATCAGGATGTGGGACCCCACGGCCCAGGCGTTCCGGCTGAACAACCCCGGCTCCACGGTGTTCACAGAGGACTGCACTGTCCTGCTGAAGCTGGTCGTGGCTGGGGAGACCACCCACTCCCGCGGCCAGCGGCTGCCCCGGAAGGGAGACTGGAGACCTCTGTGCGGGCCGCCCTCCAGGGCTTCAGCGGCAGGAACCGGTGCAACTCGTGCACCGACTCCAAGTTCAAAACCTCCCTGGTGGTCTCCTTCCTCAGCTACTGTGACTGCTACCGGCCCCGGTTCTTCCTCCTGGAGAAGGTCGGGAACTTTGTCTCCTTCAAGCGCTCCGCGGTTCTGAAGGTCAGCCTCCGCTGCCGGGTCCGCATGGGGGTCAGTGCACTTTTGGCGTGCCGCAGGCCGGTCGGTGTGGCGGGGCCCAGACGCGGAGGCGGGCCATCATCCTGGCAGCGGCCCCTGGAGAGAAGCTCCCCCTGTTCCCGGAGCCACTGCATGTGTTCGCGCCCCAGGCCGGCCCGCTGAGCGTGGTGGTGGGCGACAAGGAGATCGTGAGCAACATAACCAGGTTGAGCTCGGGTCCTTCCGGACCGTCACGGCGCGAGACACGACGTCTGACCCGCCGGAGGTGCGGGACAGAGCCTCGGCGCTGGAGAGCTCCTGCAACTGGGAGCCTCCGTCCCCGTTCCAGAGGCAGCTCCGGGGCACCCAGCACCAGCCCATCCTCAGGGACCACCTCTGTAAGGACGTGAGTGCATTGGTGGCCACCCGCATGCGGCACATCCCCTTGGCCCCCGGCTCAGACTGGCGAGATGTGCCCAGCATCGAAGTGCGGCTCTCGGGCGGCACCATGGCCCGGAAGCTGCGGTAACCCACCGCGACAGGAGGGACGGTCGCAGCAGCTCCGGGGCCCTCCGTGGGGTCTGCTCCTGTGTGGAAGCCGCAAAGCCTGCGACCCTGCAGCTAGGCAGCTCAACACCCTCATCCCCTGGTGCCTGCCCCACACTGGGAACCCGCACAACCCCTGGGCTGGCCTCTACGGAAGGCTCGAGTGGGGTGGCTGCTTCAGCGCAACCCGAGCCCATGGGCAAGCAGGGCCGCGTGCTCCACCGAGCAACACCGCGTGGTGAGTGTGCGGGAGTGCGCCCGCTCCCAGGGCTTCCCGGCCCTTTGGCAACATCCTGAACAAGCACCGGCAGGTGGGCAGTGTCGTGCCGCCGCCCCTGGCCAAAGCCATGGGCGTGGAGATCAAGCTCTGTGTTGGCCAAAGCCCGAGAGAGTGCCTCAGCTAAAATAAAGGAGGAGGAAGCTGCTAAGGACTAGTTCTGCCCTCCCGTCACCCATGTTTCTGGCACCAGGAATCCCCAACATGCACTGATGTTGTGTTTTTAACATGTCAATCTGTCTGTTCACATGTGTGGTACATGGTGTTTGTGGCCTTGGCTGACATGAAGCTGTTGTGTGAGGCTCGCTTATCAACTAATGATTTAGTGATCAAATTGTGGAGTACTTTGTGTATTCTGGATTTAAAAAGTTTTTTTATTATGCTTTATATCAAATCTACCACTGTATGAGTGGAAATTAAGACTTTATGTAGTTTTTATATGTTATAATATTTCTTCAAATCTCTCCTATAAACAAACAAAATAAAAAGTGAGTTTTGGGAAAAGATTATAAGTCCCTCTGCTTCAGAGCTCTTGATAGTTCTGGGGTTCAAGTTATACTTTCCCGTAAGTTATTTTAATGTCCTTTTTCTGACTCAAAAGACAGGGTTATTTCCTGAGACCCTGTGTACATTGCATAATTTCTCAGTCTGATTTTAAGTCTATGACTGCCACCACATGTTGCAGCTAACTTCATTCAATCATGTTGACAGATTAAATTCTGAGCGCTTTTTATATTCTTCCTATCTGACTGAGCCACAAATTTACAAATTGAATGATAACTGATTGGATTATATCACCTTTGTTACACTTTGTTGTTCCCACACCAAAATCATATTAATGATAGGAATATCTTGTTACAAGAACAATTTCAATTAGCTGACTGACATGTAAAACCTGTAATCATCACAATAACAATAATAATGATAAAGCCCTGATGATATGAAGGTTAAAAGAAGTCTAGGAAAATATATGAAGCCAGGGTATTTACCAAAATCTCATATAGGTCTTAATATTTACCAGCTATTCTTCCAAGTGCTTTACTCTTAACTACCTTACTGAATGCAATTCCTTTTCTTATTTGTAAATGAGGAAACTGAGGCACAGGGAACTTAAAAACTTACCCAAGTTCACACTTAGTAAGTGACAGACTCTGGACTCAAATCCTGGGAGTCTTACTGTGCCATCCATGCACCTAACAATGATAGTATTAATATCATAAAATACATATTATAGATATGAATGTGTTTAATATAATTGTGACTTATACCTTGTCTTCGAATCCAGAAACAAATACTGACTTCTCTTTTACTGATGCTCCGTGTAGGTACTGAATTGTTTACTGGACTCTACAGTGACTACTGGATCAGAGATGCTTCGATCTTCCGTAGCATGGGACGACTGTCCCATATCCGCACTGAGCATGATGATGAGCGTCTATTGAATGGTAAGGACGAGGAGAAGAGAATGTGAATTAGGATTGAAACCAACTTTAAAACCTATGGAAAATGTTGCCATTTCGATAATAATGAAAATACAAATACAATTCTTTTACAAATTTCAGGATGCTTTACTAGCAATATTCTTTAAAATATCGTATATGATTTGTGTATATAATTTTCTATCAAAATTGATTGGCTTAATTATAAAATCAGTATGCCTTTTGAGCAATGCTTAGAAATCAGTATTTAAATAAGGAAAATAAAACAAATGTATGAAAAGTGAAAAGTCCATATCCAATAAGCTTTTTTGTCCACTTTTATCAATTGTTATAATTTTTGATGAATCGATTGCCCTACTTTGCTTGTTTTAATAGGATTGCATTGCACTTTAGAGACAAAACTCTAAGAGAGTCAGTCACTAGACATTCATTGATACAGAATTCTTTGTAAGAAGTAAGTTTTCTGTTTTGGCACACAGGTATATGTAGGTGCTAGAATATTGTTTTATGGTGAGCATTTTAATCACTTTCCACATTTTTATTAAGCTTTAAAATGCATAGTCATTATTGATGATACCTTTCTCGTGTTTTACATACCATATCAAAGATCATTTATTCAAATTTCTTGGACTACAGTCAGAAAAATGTAATATAAATTTTCTACTTTGAAATTAAAATGATCTGTGTGCTCTACTTGTAGATAATTTATGAATTAAAATAATAAGACATTTATTTATTGTGACTTTATTTATTTAATATGTTACTTATACGTAGATTTCATTTTTACCTACAATGGGAGGAAATTTATAGATTGTCTTCACCGTGCTCACAATCTGTTCCTGAATGCATTTTAAGTTCGCATTGCATGTTGTTTGAAATTGTTCTTTTCTCCTGGATTCTTTTATTTTCCAATTAAATATTCTTGTAATATTTCTAAAATGGCTGTTAATATGCAAATAAAGTAGAGATTTCTTCATCGTGTTTAAAAAAATTCAATAAAAATATTTCTTTTATGAAATAATGCAAGTTAAACTGAAGGATTCAGATGATGTATAATTTATTGGAATAACTTATTAGCATTTTGCTGTAATATCTGTTTCACTTTCTCTCCTATATTTTGTTCCTATAGAACCAAAATTTGTAGGTTCATACATGATTCCTGACAATGAAGACAGAGATGACAACAAAGTATATTTCTTTTTTACTGAAAAGGCACTGGAGGCAGAAGACAATGCCCACACAATTTACGCCAGGGTGGGGCGGCTCTGTGTGGTGAGACTTTCTCTCTCATTATGCTTGCTTATATCACAATTTATGGTCAGGCCTTTATTAAGTTTACAGTAAGTTTCTACTTTTAAATATCTTCCAGTACTCTGTAGAATTCTAGAATTCTATAGACTCTCTACCATTGATATTTACTATACCAACCTCTACATCTCATATCTAGTAAAAGATGTATCTTAAAAGAAACTTGTATTTTGTATGATTTTCCCCGTTTTTGAAGCCATACCAAGAAGAAATAGTCTATAATTAGACTATTCCTCTTCCCATGCAGAAGTTTGAACTTTATTTTTCTTAATGAGTTTAATGAAAATCTTTTTTATTCCTTTAGTACACAGTACAAATAATATACATAGCTATGTTTGAATAATTTGGTTGGTTAGGGTTATTTTAAAAAGCCATCTCTGGTTTATTGAATATTTAGAGAGGTTGTTTGGGACCATTTAAAACCAGTAGGAGTAGCAACATATATTGAACTAATCTAATAAAATTACAAATGTAAAGTTACCTTGGCATTTAACATAAGATGTTTAAGAATAAATTTACACATATTTAAATATATGCATATATGTATATTGTGTGCGTGGTGTATGTCTATATGTATATACATGTATAGTATAGACGTGTGTGTGTGTGTGTGCGTGTGCGTGTGTGTATGTATTTCAAACTTTCTTGAAAGCTTTTTTCCTTTGTTAAAGGAAGAAAAGAAAGGGATGCTTCTATATTTCTAAGACAGGCAGACTGTTTACAAATAAAGTAATAATCATGATTACTGTATCTCTCCACTATTATATTTGGAAGATATTTCTGTTTTAATATTGTTTAATATCTGCAAAATATATTTAATATATCAGGGTGCAAGCACACTGACAAGGCAGAATGAAGACAGAAAAACAAAAGAAAAATTGTGGGGAATTGCATGTTTGACATTACTTGAGAATTATGTCAAATTTTCCTAGTTAAATAAAAAAGTCATAACGCTTAGCATCTGCATGTTTAATAACACAAAATCTATGATTGGTCAAAATTCTTTAGGGTACCTATTTACCTCCTTTTGTTTTTCACAGAATGATATAGGAGGGCAGAGAATACTGGTGAATAAGTGGAGCACTTTCCTAAAAGCCAGACTGGTTTGCTCAGTACCGGGAACAAATAGAATTGACACATATTTTGATGAATTAGGTAAATGTTTTTAGGTGAATTAAATTTGCTCTTTTGTGTATATGCTTCTTTGTAACTTTACCTCTAGGACAAATAGAAAACTTGCTTTCTGTGTATTTGACCTCTATCTAACACAGAGCAAGTCTCTGTTCTTTTCATTTTGGCCAGGCCCACATGCTGGGGGAAAAGAAATTGCAAGAACAAAAATAGGCTCATCTTGTTAGCTTAGAGTCAGTGTCTGGTTCCTTCCTGTTGTTCAGCTCAAGGCCACCCAGAGCAGCTGAAGGATTGGCTCTGTTAAGACTTGGTCATGGTTGTATGATTGTATATGAAAATATACATCTATATTGGGTTCTAAACAAATTTATGTCAACACATTGTCTTTGCATGTAAAGAGAGCTAACAATACTAAGTGATGGAATGGTCTTTAATTTTTCAGAGGACATTTTCTTGCTACCTACCAGAGATCATAAGAATCCAGTGATATTTGGACTCTTTAACACTACCAGGTGAGAAATTTATACAGTCAGTAAAACAATATAAATCAAGAGATACCTCACTGGACTCTTCCTTCTTGGTATATGTAACTTGAAAGACTGTTAACCCAGTTGCTGTTCTCATTTTCTAGTCTTTATAAGTCACCAGTTGATCTTTATTCTCCAATGTTTGCAAATGTACTTTCATTTTCCAAAGCTCAATCGCAATCCAAATCCTGTTTTAGTGTAGTACCCAGAATCCCCCTGTGCTCAGTATCCTAATCTCTTCACTCTCTAATCTAAAACGCAGTGATTATTTTTCCCACATACAGTTCATAAGATATCAGTTCTTACAATGTGTTATTATTGTAAAAGTCTAGGATAATTTCTTTATTCATCATATAAAGTTTTCCAAGCCAGGCCTTCAGGCTTCTATATCAGCTGTTACTCACTCACTTCTGGATATTTTCCCTCTGAGTTCACTGATGGTCTGGTTTTGAGAAGATAATGCCTTGACAGATGCCAGTCAGTGTCTGCTTTGCTAGTTTCCATTACGATGTTTTTATTTATTCACTTATCTTGCTTGAAATGACTTTCTTCTCCAATACTGATTTAAATCAGTTCTCCAATACTTATCAATTGCCATATCCAAGAAAAGTTCCTTGATTTCTTAGTCCCAGATCACTCTTCTCACTCCTTTATTCTGCTTTTCCTGCTCCTATGTTGATTCACAGTGAACACATGTTCATCATTTGCTCTCTATCTTTTAAATTTGCTGCTCAAGTTTAAGATACATAACCTTTTGTTTTCCCTTTTATGTTTTTGTATTTTGTACCATGGTAAAGTGCTATAAAAATGGGTAAAATATTATTTCATGGGCTTTGATACACAAATAAAAATATTAGAATCAGTTTTTGTTATAAGGTTATATACACAATTTCCTGAGTATATTTCTAGATAAGGTATAGTGTAGGTGAAATGACTGGGGTAAAAAATAAAGAAGAATATACCTCAGTTATCTTTACAGGGTCAGAACAATATTACTGAATTTCTCTTTTACTTTGTATAAGCCATAAACTGCCACATAATTATGTATACTGTGTTTACGTGGGGTCTTTCCACACAGCTTTAGTTTTTTATTTTTCAGCAGGTGGTTTTTAATGCTCATTTTAGACAAGAATATAATACATCTCTTTAGACAAGAACCCTGCTGTTGCAAAGAGACCTTTCCTTCAACAGAGAAACATGGAAACAATTTGTCTATCAATTATTCTTTGATGCAAAGAAAAATAGTTAATGTAAGTTGGTAGTGATCACAGTACATGGAGAATACTTAACTTTTTAAGCTTCAACTCATTTCTTATGCTGTGAATAATTCATACATTGCCTGATAATTCAGTGGATTTATATGATAAATTTAAGCCATGGAATAATCGGTATAGTTTTTCTATGGGTTAATAAGATCAGATTATAAGCTGTTTTCCTAAATCATAGCATAAGGGCACTTTCTGAGAAATCAAACATAACACATGATTTTCTACTGTAATTTCTGTTTTGACTGTTTAATTTATATAAATCTGAGAACAAAAGCTTCCCAGCTGTTACCTGACATAAGGCTTGACATTTGCAGAATGGTGATCAAAGGTGTGCTACTACTTCAGTTAGGAGACTATCTCAAGTGTTCCCTGTATCCTAGGCATTTCCAATTGCTTCAAGGTGTGTTATAAGATCTGTAAATTGGTGCTGTAGGACAGTAATATAACTTCTGTTTTACAGGTGTCTCAGAATGTAGGAAACTTTATTTATATGGAACTTTGAATTTTGCAAAACACTTTCACAAACATTAGTTATTTGGATTCTTAAAATACAGAGAATCTGATAACATTAAAATTCATTCAGTTCATGCTAAATTATGAAATATGGCCAGACTGTTTTAAAAATAATCTTTAAAAATGTTCTTTTGTAGACTCTGATTACAAATGCCTTCAATGAAGCTTGCCATAGTTAGTCAACTACTGCCTTTATCCTGTCAAGTAGAAATTTTAATCAAGAAAATTATTTTGCTTGCTGTTAGTTCTGGAGATGAGAGACCTAATTTTTATACAATGAAATTTTCTCATGCTTAACATATGCAGTCCAGTAATCTTTTTACTATAGATACTTTTTGGTGCCTGGAGGAAGAAATATACAAGCATATTAATGTCTATATGAACCCAGCTAAAAAATGGAAAAAAAAGGCTTAAATTTTCATAAGACTTTAAATTGTTCTTGAAGTCACATACATTAATAAATTTAATACATCTTAATAGAATTTGTAGCAATAGTAACTGCATAATGAGTGAGAAAACACTGTCTACTTTGAAGATAGAACAACGTAAAAGGAGATAATACCTAAATGAGTAATTCAACTTGGGAATAAGTCTTTGTTAATAAGAAGGCCAGATCTCCCTTAACAAAAAAATATAAAACACAATACCAGCTTTTAAAATAAGTAACATTATTTTTGTCATTCTAACAGTGCCTTTTTCAGTTGTATTAAGTAGGCAATTAAGAAAATGTTAAGTTTTAGAGTTTCAAAATTTGAAATATTGCAATAGTTAACATATCTAGAATATTTTTTGCTTACAGAAATTACAACTACTTTACCCAAAAGACTTGACTCTTCTCTTTGTAGGCTGGAGTGTTTGGCTAAGTGACCTGCTAGTTAGTTCCAGAATAATAATTATCTGTTTTGTATTTTCAGTAATGTTTTTCGAGGGCATGCTATATGTGTCTATCATATGTCTAGCATTCGGGCAGTCTTCAACGGACCCTACGCACATAAGGAAGGACCTGAATACCACTGGTCAGTCTATGAAGGAAAAGTCCCTTATCCAAGGCCTGGTTCTGTAAGTTTACTTATGTAACAAATAATTCTTATTTTAAGGACTCTTCTGGTAATATTTTGTTCACTGTTTCATGTGCTTTACAAGACTTTGTAATTAAACAATTAAGGAATTCTAAACCTAAAAGTATGCTTGGTGAAAAGTGCGTGTAGTAAAGAAATATTTCAGATCTCAAGTTTTATGCTTGTTATTTAATAAAAAGAATGTGTAATAGACAAAGTAGCATTACAAAATATATTTATTATCAATATTTTGGCTAAGTAACAGCAATTAAAATTTAATTTTTAAAAGTACTTGTACATGAGGCCAACAAACATATGAAAAACGTTCATTATCACTGGTCATTAGAGAAATGCAAATCAAAGCTACATTGAGATACCATCTCACACCAGTTAGAATGGCGATCATTAAAAAATCTGGAGACAACAGATGCTGGAGAGGATATGGAGAAATAGGAACACTTTAACACTGTTGGTGGGAGTGTAAATTAGTTCAACCATTGTGGAAGACAGTGTAGCGATTCCTCAAAGACCTAGAAATAGAAATTCCATTTGACCCAGCAATCCCATTACTGGGTATATATCCAAAGGATTATAAATCATTCTACTATAAGGACACATGTGCACGAATGTTCATTGCAGCTCAGTTTACAATAGCAAAGACCTGGAACCAACCCAAATGCCCATCGATGATAGACTGGACAGGGAAAATGTGACACATATACACCATGGAGTACTATGCAGCCATAAGAAACGGTGAGTTCGTGTCATAACCTGGAAACCATCATTCTCAGCAAACTGACACAAGAACAGAAAATCAAACACCGCATGTACTCACTCATAGGCGGGCGTTGAACAATGAGAACACATGGACACAGGGAGGGGAGCATCACACACAGGGGTCTGTCGGGGGGAAATAGGGGAAGGACAGCAGGGTGTGAGGAGTTGGGGAGAGAGAGCATGGGGAGAAATGCCAGATACAGGTAATGGGGAGGAAGGTAGCAAACCACACTGCCATGTGTGTACCTATGCAACAATCTTGCATGTTCTTCACATGTACCCCAAAACCTAAAATGCAATTTAAAAAAAGTACTTGTGAACACAGAAACATTCAGTAACATGAGCATCATATTTCTCAGCCTCTTCAGTGGTGTTAGCGCCACATATAATTTCAAGCAGGAGAATGCCACCAAATTTTTATATCCTAATGTTAGAATCAGCCCTAAATTCCCTAGGCCAAACTGTCTCCTTCTTATTGTAGGAAATCTAAAAAAAAAGTTTTTTTCTCTACCTCCTCAGAATACATAGCATCTCATTTACCATCTTTGCTGGCCCCTTAGGAAAGAAATGCCAATACAAAAGTATTGCTAGGGTACAAAAGTTCTACCACATGCCTCTGAACTGTACTACTAAGATTCTTGTTAGCTAGGCATGCAGACTTTTGCGCTTTTAGCACACAAGGCTAAAAGTGGTGATGATAGCAATGGTGATGATGAGATGATGATTTTGTATCATTCATCCCATGTGCAACTAGGTTGGAAAAACTTTAGATCATTGTATGTGCTCTGTGAGCTTTGGAGAGCAAACATTTAACTTGTCACACAAGTCAACATCTACACTCTTACAAGCAGCTGGTGAAATCCCATCACTATACTGATTCCACAATTACTTGCAAGTCAATAGAAACTGTTTTTGTAGAGCCAAAACCCAAAGTGGAAACAAACCTTACCTCCATTAACAAGTGTTAAGACTTTACCATTTTAATCACACTCTCTCACTAGCTTAAAATTATGACTTCCAGAGAGACACAGAGTATATTTTATTTCATTCTATTGATTGAAATTACAATTTTAAATGGAGAAAACCTACTCCTGTGGTTTTGCTGGAAATGCTTCTTGAAACCACATGGTCTTAAAGGAGATTTGGAGGAAGTTACTGGTTATGGAACTGCTTCCAAGCTAGTCCAAAATGTTTCCAATTATGTATCGTGAAAGTACACTCCAGTGAAAAATCCATACCAAATTAGGAAATAAGGTCTGATTTTTAAAACCACACCATTATCAATGCCCTCTTTGTGGAATCAGATTACTAAACTACTGTATTTATACTATAAAGTGGAAAATTTTTATCAAGACAATCATTGAAATTGCTGCTAGTTCTGGAGGAAAATACATAAAATAAGGGAGCACTTACTAAAAAGCATGAATCAACACATTTAAAGGTTTTCCAATGAGTAACTTAAGCCACTGTTGAATATTTAATTTTATAGCCAGTGGTTTAAAAATTGGCATGGTATAGTACATATTTCTTGTTTTCCTGGTTTATTTTGTCAAATCCATTAACAAACACAAATTCATATAGATTATAGTAAATAGAGAGTGTTTTTATGCCATTGATAATTAGCAGTGATAACATCTGAATAGGTTTTCATGTAACAGCACAAAAATTCTATAGTCAGTGAGCCAAACAGAACCATCATTGATCATATTATCATAGACTTAGTAATGGTAAGGCTATTTGGTACAGCTGTGATTCTTAGTTAGAAGTTTCAGCACAACAAAGAGATTTCTTTTGTATGAACAATAGATTATTTCCCTTCAAAATTTAACTTATATCACAAAAACCAGATTTCAAAATCAGAAAAAGTAATGTAAATATATATTGATGTTAAAAATTTTACCACCCCCAAAAGTTGTCTTGATATTAACTATACTTCCCTTTTCCAAAATTTTTCTAGTTTTTCTGTATATCTAGTGCTGCATGTACTTCTGAACCTAAAATAAAAGTTAAAAAGAAAAATATATGGTTACTTATTTCTAAATGCACAATTGACAATTTGACATCAGTTTTTCTGATTCTTCTCATAATTGATTATACATTTTCTCTTTACGTGTAAGGCAAAAAGAATGATCGAATCCACTTGTTTTTCAGTGTGCCAGCACAGTAAATGGAGGGGGATACAGAACCACCAGGGACTATCCTGATGATACCATCCGATTTGCAAGAAATCATCCACTAATGTACCATGCCATAAAACCTGCCCATAAAAAACCAATCTTGGTAAAAACAGATGGAAAATATAATCTGAAACAAATAGCAGTGGATCGAGTGGAAGCTGAAGATGGCCAATATGATGTCTTGTTTATTGGGACAGGTACGGAGATGAGAAAGTACTCAGAGGCATTTAAATTGACCTTTAAATTAAGTAATTTTAATAATATTTCTAAAAGCACCTATCAACAAATCTGTTCATTGTTAACCCATTTCACACTGCTAATCCAAATGAAAAAGAATGAAATAGAGACCTCATGTGACTGCAATAGTAAGAGTTTATGCCAATTGTCTGGGAACATTATCACTTTCATTGTCAGGAGTGTCATGGTTTGACCAAAATAATATGTGGTTTGTTTCAGATATGAGAAATATTAAAGCTACCAAAGAGAGGATTTGGTGCTTGTATGGCAGATAATTCATTATACATAATCAGTACTTCGTATGCATCAATAAATGAATAAGTGAAGAAATGAATAATAGATGTTAATGAACAAAGTTGGTCCCAAATAGAAGTTCTCATAGTGGAAGTAGAATGTCATAGCAAGAATGGTTCTGTCAGTTTCCTACCTTTATTACTGCCTTTGTTCAGTGAGTCCTGGAGATTTTGTAAACAACTTGGAACTTCGGACAATAACTTCACCTAAATCTATAAACATATTAATCCTTATGAGTCCACGTCAAGATCAAACATTTGTACCAAGCAGGCCAAATGTTACCCATAATATCCTGTATTAATAAAGTATGATAAATATGCTAAAAGTGGCATTTTCAAATAAATGTGTAATTTCAATTAACCCATACATTAGATCTAACTTGTAAAAGAGAACTTAAAATCTTTCAGCCTCCAGAGTAGTATGTGGCAAATTCTTTGAAGTGTTTTAAAATCCTATAATCATTTTTAAAATGTTTAAAATGATTCTTTTTATTTAGCATAGTAATTGCTAGCATAGTTGATCTTTAGAGAAGTGAGCATTCTAACATACATGACTTTAATCATAGATATATAATTCCGAAGAAATATTGGAATAAGCCCAGATCAGGAAACAGGATGTAATATTAATATTAATATTTGTGCTTGGGCTTCTCCAATAGTCCTTTTTTTTTTTTTTCTTTGAGTTGGAGTTTTGCTTTTGTTGCCCAGACTGGAGTGCAATGGCGTGATCTCAGCTCACAGCAACCTCTGCCTCCCGGGTTCAAGCGATTCTCCTGCCTCTGCCTCCAGAGTAGCTGGGATTATAGGCATGTGCCACCACACCTGGCTAATTTTGTATTTTTAGTAGAGATGGGGTTTCTCCATGTTGGTCTGGCTGGTCTCAAACTTTGACCTAAGGCGATCCGCCCGCCTTGGCCTCCCAAAGTGCTGGGATTACATGCGTAAGCCACTGCACCCAGCCATTTGTTGTTTTTAAAAGCAAAGATTTAAGCATGAAAACATCTATCTTATTCTTAGGAATTGATCTCTGGTACAAGCTGTATTTTATTCATTCATTTTAGGAAGTTAATAATGTGCTCTGCACTGTGAGTTCAAGATTAATATGTCGTCAGATTTCTTCAACAAACTTTAAATTACTTGGTCATAAATTGACTCATAGTGACTACTAACAAAATTTTTAAAAGTTTCATAATAATATTTGATAAAAATAATTAAAGTATTAGTTTGGTGCAAAAGTAATTGCGGTTTTTTTGCTATTACTTTAATGACAAAAACCATGATAACTTTTGTACTAACCTAATTTGTTATTTGTAAATACCCTGGAAAGGAGAAACCATATATGCCAGTCCAAGAATGTTTTTAGAAATACCTGCTTGTCATATTGATCAAAGTCATTCCTGAGAATTCCAGAAGTATCAAGCATCTATTTGTTCTGCCATATACACCATGTTTAAAGTAGCTTTCAGTAAAAAAATTTTCTTGCATCATGCATCACAGAAAAAGTAGCTAGAATAATTTGGCATCTTTCTTATGTTTTATTAATTCTGAAAGATATTTTGATTTTTAAATCTGTGATTGGATTTTTGGATCCAGCTATTTGAAATAATTATTATTTCCTCTTCTTTTCTGGCCAGGCATATAAAATTAATTTTGCTATTAAAAATATGAGTTTATAAGTCATCATATTGTTTTAAACTGGCAGTGATTAAAATGTTTCATGCTTCTGGATTTCAAATCCTATTTGAATTTATAGTCACTACTTTTTCCTTTTTTTTTTTTTTTTTTTTTTTGAGATCAAGGCTTCTTTGTCACCCAGGCTGTAGTGCAGTGGCATGATCTTGGCTCACTGCAACCTCCGCCTCCCACGTTCAAGCAATTCTCCTGCCTCAGCCTCCTGAGTAGCTGCGATTATAGGCACTCACCACCATGCCTGGCTAATTTTTCTTTTTTGTCTTTTTAGTAGTGACAGGTTTTTGCCATGTTGGCCAGCTTAGTCTTGAACTTCTGACCTCAAGAGATACACCCTGCCCCAGCTTCCCAATGTGATGGGATTATAGGCATAAGCCATCTCACCCAGCCAGCTACATGGATTTTAATTTTTTGAAAACCAGACTGTGATATAGCTTCTAGTTTATTTCTTGTTTCGTTTTCTTGTAGATAATGGAATTGTGCTGAAAGTAATCACAATTTACAACCAGGAAATGGAATCAATGGAAGAAGTAATTCTAGAAGAACTTCAGATATTCAAGGTATTTAAAGTAAAAAATACAGACCAAATTTATGCATTACAACTACAAGTGAGATGTAAATAGGAAAGATATTATGTCCATTTTTTAACAACAGGTGTGTTGTGGATTCAGAGCTAATATAAGTGAATAATTATTTCAAATTTTAATGCATCTATTTGATTTTTACAGACTTTTCAACTGAGAGGTCAATATATACTTAGCATGGAAAAAGTTTCAGTGAATAAACTGTGACTATAAACAAATAACATTTATACTACGTATAATTTTCAAAGCCAGTATTACAATCACATCTTGTACAAATGTACTATTAATGCTGAGAAAAAATAATACATTTTCATATTGCGAACATTGTGGCAAGGTAAGCATACTGCTTTTTATTAAGTGCATCAATTATACAAAGAATTTACTAAAAAAGAAAAACAATAGAAAATGATAATGAAAAGATTAGACATGAAAAAACAATTACATATGCAGATACACACATACATAGGTGCATGTGTGTATATATGTGTGTGTGCATATATATACACCACGCATGCACTTATACAATCCCTCCCCCAGCACACACACATCAAGCCATATCATTTGCAGCAGTTTTGGCTTTGAAAGTGGTTATAACACTGAACTATTGAATATTGATCACTGCTCCTGTGGGAAACAAGGGGTTATGTTCCAGCAGATTTCTAATTATAATTGTCAACAGATCAATTCATAACCTTCTTTTATGTGTGTTTGTGTTTAAAGACACCTTATTTAATATGTATTGCTGATGGATTAACATTGAACTCACAGCCAACAGCGCTATAATCCGTGCCTGAATGAAGCTTATCTAAGGAAAGAATTTTCAATGTTAAGGCACAGTGAAGCTTTTTTGAGTTTAGGAACATTAAACAGAACTTCAGCACTATGCTTGGGGGCCATTTAAAAAAACAAAACACCAACAAAAAGCACAGACATGTGACAACTTTGGCACTACATAATCCATGAAAAACATACTTATTTACACTAAGAAAGCTGAAACAAGAAGGCAGAGTGACAACTTGTTTCATCTCAGCTGGGAATGTGCATGTCCTGTGACTCCATTTTTTTGCTGTTCTGAATGTGCAGGTGTCCATGAGTGAAAAACACACAATGTGTTGATACTGGGGATACAATACATTTTAGCAAGTAGGTTAATTTGCAAGTACAGAATCTGTGAATAACAAGGATTGACTATATATGTTTATAATGGGTATATGGAAAAGATTTTATAAATAAAAAGCAGTACATTTTGCCTTTACTGTACTAGAGTGCAGATTCCCTAGAGTCACACCCAAAACTAACCACCATCCTATATCAACCAGAGCAGCTATGCTTTTGTTTATTTTGTACTCTGGGACTCTATATAAGATTTCATTTCATGTTATGAAATGAAATGTGTTTAATATTTACTCACCACAGTGTTTTGTTCATGTAAACTCTTAAGAACATTGCTGCCTGTTCTGAATAAATGAATAAATGTATAAAAGCATAAAGATTCTGTAGTTTAAAATTAAAAAAAAAAAACAAAACACTGACATAGAGGATCAAATGTTCCCTTTTAGAAAACAGTTCTTCAAAGGATAATCATCCCCAGAGTGTATTTCACCTGCCTGTGGTTTTCCACTTGCGTAGATGATCTGAGTTTATTGTTTTTCTTAGGGGTGGACTGGCCTTCACAATCCTAAAACAACATATTGATTCTCAAAGCTATGGTATAAATTGTCCTTCCTCTGGTGCAGTTCTAAGAAAATCAGGTTATTCATCTTGTTCAAAGGATCCTGAGTTAATTGTGATTCACCATGATCACTCCAACAGAAAAATATTTTGTTTAGGTTTGGGTTTAAATGATTAAAGATCACCTGGTTTATTAGCAATAACACCTACTGAAAGACACACTGGTGTCATTTTAATGGTTCAATTATGTAATAGAAAGAACATTCTGACTTTTTTACTTTATTTAAAGATACTTGAGTTCCCAAAGCACAAGTAATATTCAAATGCAAATACAAAAACCATATTCAAGAGACAAACAGTAAGCTGGTTATATCACCTATGGCTCTTCTCATCTGCAAATCTGCCCACCTCATTAGAAAAAAAAAGTTTTTAAAGCTGTATTTTAGTTGTATTTGCATATTGATTTATTAAAATGAAAGCTGTAGAGTACTTAACACAGAACCACTTACATAGCTAACGTATTTTCAGGAATTTACCAGCATATTAAGGTAAATGTTTTTATATTATTTTCTAAAAAATGAAACCTTTTTTAAAATTTCAGGATCCCGTTCCTATTATTTCTATGGAGATTTCTTCGAAGCGAGTAAGTTTTCTCTCTCTCTCTGTGTGTGTGTGTGTGTGTGTGTGTGTGTGTGTGTCTGTGTGTATGTGTACCTGTGCATATTCTATATGTAAGCTAAGGTCAAGGGATATGTGCTTATATCTGAACTTATTACAGTTTTATTTTTCTTTTATTACTTTATTTTATTGTAGTAAGAACATGTGATCTACCCTGCTAACAAAATATTAAGTGTACAATACATATTTAATGACTATAGGTAAAGTGTTATACTGCAGACCTCTAAACCTTATTAAACTTGTTTGACTGAAACTTTATGTCCATTGACTGGCACTGACAAAAGTATGTCGTGATTTACATTTAATACATGTCTTCATTTTCTATCTCTATGGAAAGGTAGATGAGAGTAGTTTTACTTCTATACTACTTTTCGAAAACGATTGTAACAATGATAATCCAAGAGCATGCAATGAAACACACCTCTTTTTACTTCACTGAAATCATTTAATATAAACTTCTTTAGAAACACTTGTTGTACATACTGCCCCAAATTTATTTATAAATAATTCATCATGTTCAGGCAAAAGGAAAGATATGATACTAAATGTTCAGCTACTTGTTCTGTAGATAGATAGATAGATAGATAGATATACACATCATTCTTCTAAATGTTATATGTCAATATTTAAAAGGTCATTTACTTTCCAAATCTCTTATTCATTATTCCTGGAGATTTGTTTTCTGTTTTGAGATAGGGTCTCACTGTGTCACCCAGGCTGGAGTTCCAGTGGTGCAATTACAGCTCACTGCAGCCTCAACTTCCCAGGCTCAGGTCATCCTCCTACCTCAGCCTACCGAGTAGCTGGGACAGCAGGCGTGTGCTACCATGCCCAACTAATTTTGTATTTTTTGTAGAGACAGAGTTTTGCCATGTTGCCCAGGCTGGTCTCAAACTCCTGGGCTCAAGCAATTCACCTGCCTTAGCCTCCCAAAGTGCTGGGATTACAGGCATAAGCCACTGCACTCAGCTGTTTCCACAGTTCTTTAAAGAAAGATCTGCAGTGTTGGATAATGCAAGACAATGAACACAGCTTTTTGAGTTGTTGTCAAGTTCAGTCTAGCAATTTTGGTACTCCTGCATTTATGTCTATGAACATATCTCAAATTTTAGAGAAATGAAAATATAAATATTCTATTACCTATATTGAACAACTGCTATAATTTTTATGTGTGATGGAGTTTAACTGTTGTCTCCCAGGCTGGAGTGCAGTGGCACGATCTTGGCTCACTGTAACCTCCACCTCCGAGGTTCAGGCAATTCTCCTGCCTTAGCCTCCGAAGTAGCTGGGATTACAGGTGTCCACCACCACGCCTGGCTAATTTTTTGTGTTTTTAGTAGAGATGGGGTTTCACCACATTGGGCAAAGCCTGGTCTAGAACTCCTGAAACTGCTATAATTTAAGTGAATTTTTACTGAGGTGATTGTGTGCAAATGTGAAAACTAGGTGTAATAACTCAGTGAAAGTTTTGTCCATTGCTGCTAGTGACCTCTTTTTGATTTCTGTAGCAACAGCTATATATTGGATCTGCTTCTGCTGTGGCTCAAGTCAGATTCCATCACTGTGACATGTATGGAAGTGCTTGTGCTGACTGCTGCCTGGCTCGAGACCCTTACTGTGCCTGGGATGGCATATCCTGCTCCCGGTATTACCCAACAAGTACACATGCAAAAAGGTGAGACATGATACCTGATGAATTATTTCCCTTGCTCAGGAAAACTCTAATAACCCTAATGCTGAGGTGGTTTTTTGTTTGTTTGCTTGTTTTTGTTTTTGTTTTTTTTTTGTCTTTTTCTTTTTTGCATACATTCCATGAAAAATAACCAAGCTATTTTTATTTAAACAAATCATCATAGTTATATCTTGTTCATAATAGAAACTTTGAAAGCTTGAAGTTTTCTGGAAAATACCTGTGTTAATTATTGTTTATAGAGACTGGAGCTGAACATGCTGTTGACCTTTTATTTTTTCACCCAGGTTTGAGTCAGTTCTTCCCTCCTTTGAAACTTTTGCTGCAAGACATGAAACAAGTTTAGATAAAGTGGAAATGTGGAAATGGTGAGCCACCACACATGAAAGATTCAAAGGCTTAAAAAGAAAATAAATAAAGAAATTCTAAAATACATCCTGCATTTGCCCCATGTCCTTTCTACCAGCTGGTCTTCATTTATTTCATTTTGAAAGTGAATATTTTAACTCCTAGGCAAATGCATGACCTGTATAATTAATGAAATGTGTGATTTAATTCAACACAAATGAAAGGTACTTAAAGACCTCCAAACTCCATTGTCTACAATTCTGTGAGGTCATTGCCATTTCCTGCAGAAGGTAAATCCCAGGATTCTTTAAGCAGAGATCTTGAGGTGCAGTTAAGTATTTTGAAGAATAAGCATATCTCTTCACTCAAGCCATATGAAGTTGTGCATTCTTTGTGGAAATACCTCAGGAAAAAGTATTTTTATTTCTTACAGAATAAGCAGTTTCTTTCTTGTAATAGATGACCAAAGACAAAATAAAAGACAAAATAGAAGTATAGATAATTTTCCTACTGAAAAACAGTTTGTATTAATTTTAGTTATTTTTATTATTTAACTTTGGGTTGCATTTCTGTAAACCTTTTTTGGAATATAATTTAACCCAATTTAGTGTAGTTCTTGTTTTATATGTTCAGATATGTAGTAGAATCTCATTAAAACTTCATTCATTCAAAATTTTGGTAATTTTACTTGAGCTAAATTAACACTCCAGTGAGTATTTTAAGAAATGATATAATAAGCAGATAGTAAAATTATGCTTTGAGAGGACATGTCTGAGCTAAATTCACCAACTGTGTTACAGAATTGAGCAAATTAATTGATTTTGCAGAATGCTTGTTGATGTTAAAAACAATTCTCGAAGACTATAGTCATATAATTATTTGGAAATATTAACTATTAGTGTATTTGCCTATTAAGCCAATTAGTGTACTATGTGCAAGGGTTATGAAGAAATAATCATAACCTCATGCCTAAAGGAAATTGGAAACTAAAGTGAAGAATGGAATTGTAAATAATGAAAGTAAGTAGTAGCTTGCTATTGAGCACTTACTATGGATGAGGTACTGGATTAAGAGCAATGCATATAAAACTTTATTTGATTCTCAAAATAATATGACTTTTGAACTTAATCTGGAAGGTAGATATATGATTCCAGTCAAAGGGAATTAATTGTCTGTACAAATAAATAGAATGCTTAGGGAAAAGCATGCAGTACCATGGGTCAAGAGTGAAATAATAGAAGAATACGAGGGTAGAATGTGAATTTTACCACAAATAATAACATTATTTTATTTTTATTAGCAACAATACAAATATTTATAAGCTTTGCACCAAATGCTTATGAATGACAAGGTTTTGTGTTAGGCATGCAGTAGTGATCATGAATTTTAATTCAGCAGCTTCCATTGTTTTTTAGTATATGTTGCATCTTTTAACAGTGTACAGCCCTAAGCTCGATAACATAGTAGATGTGGTGGACAAAAAGAGTTACTTAGAAAAAGTCAAGTGAAGGAGAAAAGTAGTAGACAAGAAGGCATGAAATGCAGGAGTCAGAAGCTGTGCTCATAAATGAATTAGTTCAGTTCAGTGACATGTAATGGAGATCTTTCAGTGGTGTCAAATTCTTTTGAACCATCACTCACCCCTGGAGGAGAACTTTTTGGATAAGTTCCAACACATGAAGGTAAAGTGGTTTGCTTTTATAGCAGATCGTTTTTGCTTCAGACCTGAATAGAAGCAGAAATTGAAAACTGGTCATTAAAATAAATACTTTTCTGTTCACAGAGTGAAAATGAGTCAACAGGGGAAAAACATTAATTCATAATCCAAACCACTTGTTTAAAATGATCTTCCAAAATACATTGTGGTTTATAATGCTAGGTCTTTTTCTTCCCCTTGCTCTTATATTTTGTCTATTTCCAGTATTCTCTTTAAAAATTTATAGGAGAGGCTAGAGATAAGAATAATATGTAACTTTGAGAATGAAAGCAACTTTGCTCAACCCTTCTGAAACTCCTCCACACACACACACACACACACACACACACACACACACACACACACGTACTAAAGAAAAGGAATAAAGGACAACTATACTGGGATAATATAAAATGAACTGAAACCTTGCTGGAGAATGTGATATCTTTCTTTTTAAATATATGTTTCCAATAACTTTTAGCAATATTTGTGCACCCAGTTCTGGATGTTGCTTATCTAGAATTATTTGATTATAGCTTCCTTATCTTCACATCACTTGTATAATAATCTTTATACAACATCATCTCTGCAAAGTGGAAGCCATTTCTCATTTCACTGATTTTATTCTTATCCATTATTCATTATTGCTCATCAGGCTTTAGGTTCTCAATATACAAGCAATGCTCAACAAAATGAGGAATTAACAACAGCATTTTAATTCTCATCTAGATCTGCTTTTAGTTGTATCATAGCTGTATATACTAGTATAATATGGAAGCTAAAACATATTTTGTACACAGGTCATAATCCCAAAAATCGATTGCAAATATTCATCTACCATAGTTTTCAGTATCTGTTTATTTGTTAAATAAGATCTGAACTCCGGTGTGAGAAAGCATTTGATCTTTTGAAATAGCACTCTATTATTGTTATGTATAAACAGTGTACCCTAGAATGAAAAAAAGAGAGACTGAAATAGATTTTAGGTGTCATTTTGCCACCTTTATTTTACAAGGGAGGATCCAAAGAGCCAGGAAAGGGAAAAAATGTACATAAGATCTTGCAGAATATTAGTGGTGGTATTGGGAATTGAAACTGGTTCACTTTTCCAAATTTCATCATTGCATATGGTTAAAGCATCTCATTGTCACTTTGGAAGCTATGCTATCACCCTTCGGGGTAAAACTTCTGCTTTGCCTTCTGTTTTTTCCTCAGTCTTAAAGAAATGCCATGAATTAGAGAAGCAAGTGATATTTTCCACCTTTATGTAATACTTCCATTTTAATCCGTAAACTAAATTAAGTATCTCAGAGATCTTGATTTAGAATTTCAATGCTATTAATACTAATGATAATTCCCATGGTTTAATCCCTCAGAAAAATGCTTCTAAATTATATCATTTTATATATATGTGTATATAAAATGTTATATATTTAAAGGATTGTTTTTATATATAGTCAAAACATTATATATTACATATGCTAGAATTATATATATATATATATATATATATATAATATCATATATATTCAAAACATTGTATATATTATATCTATTCTGGAAATATATATATATAATGCTTGATATATATAAATATATATAGTTTAGAATTTCTCCACAGATACAGAATATTGTATTGTTTTCAGTTACATATCTAAACAATCTATGAAATTAAAAATATACTAGAAATGTCTCTGATTATACTAGGCAGATTGGGGGGAAAATATTAATATTTCTTGAGTCCCACTAGATGCACAACATACTGCTAAACATGAATAACACACCATCACATCAAATAGAGCCATATAATTTCTCAATGCCATATCTGAATACTAAGCTGAGTACAGCATATTATTAGTTTATATCTTATTTTTAGAAACTCTGTACTAATTGATTATAATGGCTATAGAGCAAAATATTTTGGATTCTAACACCTTTTTCCTTTGCACTTTGTTATATATGGGAGTTTTATACTCCAAATAACTGTTTTGTACTCACTAAATACTCTACTTCAAATCCCATTGTCTTTATTTGCCTAAATACTTTACCATTCGAGACATTCTTAAACTAGAAGATTTTTTGTTGAAGTAAACTTTTAACAAAAAGTAAAGAGAAATTTATTCAATTGTTGTTTGAGTTTCCAGAATTCAAAATTATGTAAATTAAAAACAGGATAACATAGATCTTAACTACTGAAGAGCATATAATGGAAATATGAAAAACTATGAAACTTGGCTTTTATCCTTATTTCATATGAATGATCTTTTTTTCAGTAGCAGAATACTACTTGTATATTTAATGCAATTTGCTATATTTTAAAGCCTGGGAAATTGAAATATGAACATCTAAATGCATTTACTTTCTTTCAGGCGTTTCCGTAGACAAGATGTTCGGCATGGAAATGCAGCTCAGCAGTGCTTTGGACAACAGTTTGTTGGTAATCTATAGAAAATCAATTGTCCTGGGTTACTTGGAGAATATATTGAAGATAAACTGCAAACTTCTTAAAAGAGTTTTATTTTCTTTGTGATTCATATATACTAGAACAATGTAATGAGAAGTATTCTTTTTCTCTCACATGTAGTTAAAATTTTGTACATTTGACATCTAATTTTACATGATTAGGAAAATAAGTTTTATGCACCACCACCAAGCTTTGCTATTAAGCTAATTATTAAAACAGAAACCCTGGAACAAGAATGGTGCATACTTTAGGTGGTAGATGCCATAGTGACTCATATGACTTACCGCTTTATCTCATACTGGGGAATATCTTCACCATCTTATGTAGCTTCTGGGGATTTTATCAACCGATATTACTTGTATCAAGCCATCTCCTAAGCTTTGAGATAGATAAAGTGAAAAAGCTTTCACTCTTTTACCTAAGTTGACTAAGCGTAGGGCTGGGGTTGGTGATTCAAAAAAGGTGATAGGGTGGTGGTCTCTGATGGGCAAGGAACGGAGGAAATTTCATCTTTAGGCAAAAGTACGGAAGTTAAGACAGAATTTCTCTATTAACACTCTCCTGAGTCTTTCTGTTATGGTGGTGATTGTTGAATAGGCTATATTTAGTGTCACTGAGCTCACTAGGAAGTAACAGGAAGAAGGGATACCATAAATGAGGAACCAGAAGTGGTTATAGACAGAGTCAGAAACTGTGCTCCAGCATCACTATGCTGGACCCCAGGCTGACCAGGATTCAGTGGAGGACTCAAGCCTCTGGGAACACAGGCAAGAGAAAAGCAGGACCTTTCATCTTAGGGAAGTTTAGGGGTTGGTTCTGAAGGTGAGTAGGATTCAGGCATAGGAAAACTAAGTCCAGGGGTCCAGTTATTGAATTTGTCTTGGTTAAAAAAGAAAAAGAGTAATCCTGCTTTCTTTTATTCCCTACTGCAGCTAAGTGTACTTGCCTGTATGCAAATTTGAGTTCAAGTCCAGTGAGAGCCTTCCTGGTCCAAAACATAGATTACAATCAAGCTCTATTTCATGAAGTCCCTAGTTCAGTTTCATATTCTCTTCTCACTGCAGGAGCCCAACACCCAGATAAATTCAATCCCTTGTCAAGATATCATTCACATTTGTGTTTATGTAGTGGCATTTTGCCTGCATTTCTGGTTTCTGCTTTTGTTTGTTACCATGAATTTCATTCTGTGCTTTGGTGCTCCTTTTCTCTTCCCTCAGCAGAGGTTGCAATAGACTTTCCATGAGTTTAACACTGACACTTCTCACTGCCTTGACTATCCCGTCTCATCTTTTGGAATCAGACTCTTAGTTGTCGGCTCTGTCCCACCCCTTAGCCTGCTTGCTTGTTTCATGCCTAGATTTTGGTATGCCACTCTTGCTAAATAATTCCTTTAAATTGCCCTTTATAGAAATGAGCAATAAGTAATGAGCTAATCATGTTACTGCAGGGATCTAAATAATGTTTAAAAATTTTATTTACTTGTAAAATCTAAGTCTCAAAGATGGCATTAATGTTCCTGTTGTAGGGGATGCTTTGGATAAGACTGAAGAACATCTGGCTTATGGCATAGAGAACAACAGTTCTTTGCTGGAATGTACCCCACGATCTTTACAAGCAAAAGTTATCTGGTTTGTACAGAAAGGACAGGAGACCGGAAAAGAGGAGGTAATTCATAGCTGAACAGTCACACCATAGTGTTTTACATATAGTATGTGATCGGTAAATAGATTATTTATTTGGATGCTGAAAAATGAAGCTAGCTGTTTTACTATGCATTTCTTATTTTAAAAGTTAGTTTTATTTATTATGTGATTTATATACATATAAAAATGTAAATACATATACATGTAGATTTTATATGCATATACTATGTAAATATATATATGCTATACACATATACAGAAATCATTAATTTGGATCTTGGAAATAGGAATTTTTAAGAGAGGTACTTATAACTATGGTCATGTTGTCAAAATGATAGTCTTAAATTGTGACACTCAAGGCAATGTTGTAGAGAAATAGCAAACTTAACTACCATTAACACATATGTCTTAGGCATATGAATCATAATAGAATTAGAATAACAACACAGCTGCAACATTAAGCCTGTCATATAAGAAAGCTTTTCAGTCATATATGAGACATTGACACAAGGGTTCTTGACCACTGGGAACAAGGGAAAGGCCCCAGCTCTTTTATCCTTTTTAGCAGTTGCAGTGGTGGAGACTGTATTTCTGTAATCATCTAAATGATAGGAGAGGAATGACTTGGCTGCTTTTAGAGATGGAAGGATAGGCCACTTTAAAGCATTTATGTAAAATAGGAGGCAGTTACTGGATAAATGAATGTGAGTCAAGTGCTGTCTATAGAAAGAGTCCAGGGCATAAAGAAGACCAGGACATAAGCAGTTAGTTAAGGCAGTTCGTGGTGATGTGGTCTTTGAACTCAGTTTTGTAAAACTGAAATTATAAAGATAACAAGTAGAAATGGATATTTTAGAGGGAAAAAGAACTTGGTGAATATTGAAAAATGATCTTTGGTAAAGAAAAGTTTGCAAGTTGAATAATGAAAATAAGTTCTAGAGATCTGCCTTTGGTCACAGAGAAGAGGTAATAGGTGCATTTTGGATAGAGAGTGAATCACCTTCACCTTGTTTTGGCAGTGGAGACTAAACATTTGTCATTGGAACACAAAATTAGTGATTCCAAATGCGGAGCACTTTGACTTTTTATTCCTTTTTTCCTAGCCTATGGTGGAACTAAAAACCCAACATATTTGGTTCAAAATCATACATTCTGGGAAATAATTAAATTTGTAAATCCTTGGTTCTTTGGATAGGTTTTAGAAAGAAAGTCACCTCAACTTAACAAAGGCCATTAGAAATAATATAGAAATGCAATCAGGAAAGGAAAATTCTCTTCATGATGTCATAAAAATAAACACATGTCCAAATGTTATAGCATATTGAATTAAATTGTTAATTTAGTATTAAAGTATTTTCCATTTCACAGATCTGAAGTGAAATGGCTTTTTAAATTCCTCATAACTCCCTTGGCAGAAAAGGACCTGGTAATATTCCATAGTTCCTCCAAGCCGAATGGCTTCAGAAGGCAAAGAAGTAATTCTTTTATCAGTGGTTTTCCTCACTCAGTATGTCCTGTTTCTAATTTGGAACTTATCATAATCTGCCTCATTGGGAAAACTTTACCAAATCATTTGACATGCTGTATCCATCAATGTTCAATTATAAGGTTCTTTCTCATATTGTTGATATAATCTACTTCTCCATTCCTATAATTTTTAGTACCTGTTTTCAAGTACATTCAATTTCCCCAACTAATATATTTGCTGATATTTGGGCTTCAAATTTTACTCCCTGCATCTAGTCATAATCAGGTAATATTAATACTTGGCTTTTATGGGTCTAGTAATATATGGATTGATTTATTCACAATATAAAATGGACAAAACACAAAATTGCTGACTTTATTAAAGTCTGAATATACATGATGTACACACAAAGCAGAAAAACTTTGCATGTGAGTTCTTAATTTTATTTAATAACATTTTTTGCATTATTGACATCTATATGTCTCATTCTTGTGAAACATAATTACTTTCTTATCAAATCTTTATTTGTACCCCTGACAATGCTTATCAAGGTTCATCTCTGATGCTACAAACTGTGAGAAGTCATTAATTTATCAGACCACAGAGTATATACATTTTCCCTTAATTTAACTGAAATTTTTGATTCTGTAATATCTGCTTGTTCAGATTCAAACTCAGTCCTCTGGAGTTATCCAGAAGCAACATATCCATGTGGATAATATTTTTGCCCAAATTAATCTTTAGAAATTGAATCAATCTTTAGAAACACACCTGAATTGTTAGAAAGACCTGAAAGGAAATCAATTATCTACTTTCTAAACACTGGATTATAGTAATTCTCTCAAATATGCATTTTATCGACTCCTGCTTTCTTAAATAAAGCAAATGAAATATAATCTCTATACATTTTATTAATTCTGTAAGTGTTTATTGAAAGCCTGCTTTTCTAGATACTTCGTAGGGAGTATTTTCCCTTGACTTGAAGATCTGATTAATTTTAATGTCATAATAAGCTGCCATGAATTATAAATATAAATTAAATATAAAAGACTATATGTGTATGTGTGTGTATATATATATATATATATATGTATATAAAATCAATTATTGTGATTTACTGAGAGAAAAGAGACTTAGTAAAACAGAATTGATAACTGAGGCTGTTATATATATGTACCTATTGCAAGCAGGAAGTGAGTAGGTACCAGGTTATTTCTAGATCTCACAACTGCAAGTTAGTCATAATTTTCTTCATCTTACACATGCAGAAACTAAAACTCACAGAGCTATGGCTTATACACAAAGTCAGTGACAGACCTGACGTTTGAACTCAGGTATTCCTAACTAAAGCTGTGCTGTTTCACATTCATTGTCGAAGTACAATATGTTCTATATGCATTTTATGGAATATACATATGAATATACATATGCATACATATACATATACATTCTTAAATATACAAAAGGGTATATGAAATATACCCTTTTATTATAAAGAATTGGTTTATAGATGAGGTAATTGAGGCACAGAATGTTTAATAACTCCCTGGTTACTTGCAGCTAGTAAAGTAGGTTCAAATCCAGGTGTCTGTAATTTCTACTAAACCACAAAATCTTCTGAAATAAAAATTCTAAATACAGCTTCAGATGCTTTGGGACATAGAACAAATGGAAAACTTTATGGCAGAAGTTCTGGGATTCAATTTCTAAAAAATGCTCCTGATGTCAGATTGATCCTTATATAGATTTTTTTTGTCAGAGTTGAATGAAGCATGCTGCTGCAGCCTTGATGGCAAAGCCACTATGCCTCATTGTCACATGTCAGAGAACCTGCCTATAATTTGAAACATCCCCACTCTAAGCACTGATGACATGAACTATTGTTATATATAACACACACAGTATAGACATCAATGTGTTTCCATTCTTAAATTGCCTTTTCAAGCTTCTACTATATGCCTATTGGTACAATATGACCTCTATATCAAAGGAAATGTGACCCACACTTTGAGCCTATGTAGATATAAAATTCAGAGTATTCTTTCTTATTTTATTGGATTTTTTTTCACTAAAAGAAATGTTTTATTCATTTGTTTGAATTTATTTATTAAGCACTTACTATGTCATACTTTATAGAACTTATATTTGGGAGAACATGGGAAGACAATAATAATAATATTATTAAATATGTCAGATAATGATTTAAAAATTCAAAGGAGGTTAAATTATAGGGAGAAGTTGGGAGTTTAAAAGGGTAGCCATTTTTATGATGACCTCGTTAAGAAGATCATCATAAAAGTGACACTTGAAAAAAGATCTGAAAAAGTTAAGGGCATAGGTCATGTGACAGTACAAGATAAAAACTCTCTGGGCATTGGAAACAGGAGATGCTAAGACCCTTGAGATAGGAGTGTATGTGATATACTCAAAGAACAGCCGAGTGAAGAGCAATGTGGCTGGAGGTTAGTGAGCAGTAGAGAGACTAATAGACTGTGCATCAGAGAGGCGAGGACAAGGGAAAGCTCATGCAGGGACCTACAGCCATTTCACAGGGTTTTGGTGCTTGTTCTGAATTGAAAAGGAAGCCACTGAGTATTTTCAGCAGAGCTGTGACATCATTAACATTTGTATTTATAAAGATTACTTTGGTTATTATATTAAGATGATAGTATGTTGGCATGGGGATAAGGGTGGAAGCAGGTAGTCATTGAGGTAATAGGAGCACACAGTATTCATGATTAAAGACAACTCTTAATGTACCGTTTGCCTTCAAGACCAGATGATTTGCAAGTGACTGCCTCATACACATTGTAGGAATACACTTTGCTATATTTTTCACTATTAACAAATGTGAAGGCTGTTTAACATCTCAAATGGAATACTTTTTGGACTCTCTGTTCTCTTCTCTCTGTTTAACTGTTTGGAATTGGTGTTTGAACTCCATAAATATCCACTCAGAGTCTACTGTAGTAGGCAATTAATAAATCACGGTCTTAGCTCTTGTGATGTTTACAGTCTTATAATGAAGACAAGAGTGCAAACATAATTATATGTGTTCCTCAAAAGTTTTGTTGAAGGTAAGGAAAAATAAAATTGTCTCAACCAAGAGATTGGGTAGGGAAGTGGCTTAATAACCAATTGTGAAAGACTCATGGCAGAGACGACATTTGAGCCACATCTTAAAGGATGAGTGGAGGTAATTATTAGAATAATGTTAGCCCATGTTACGAAGATGAAAAACAATATGGTATATCTAAATCATGATAGGAAATGAGCATGCAAAAATGAGTAGACAGATCAAGGAATCCATTTCAATTTGTCTCTAAGCCAATGAGAACAACTTAGCTTGACTGTGTATGCAAACTATTCTAGAAACTGGCACACAGACTTAGCAGATAAATAGAATGTCAAGAATATTTAGGATGATACTTCAATAGTCAATGAAAAAATGTTGTACCACAGGAACTAAACAGTATTAATAGAAAGTGAGAAGACAGATTTCAAGTTTTATGAGACGATTTTAAATGGATTTCATATTTGAGATAAAAGAGCAG